TGTGTGTGTGTGTGTGTGTGTACATATATATATATATATATATATATATCTTATGTGTGTGTATGTGTATAGACAGATGTTCATCTACATACACATACACACACAGGTGTGTGTGTGTCCCAAAAGGCATACACAACTCTAACCATGATGCTTCTATCTAGTTCAGCATCTCTGCTGCTTTTAAAACATTTCCAGAAGCAATACCCCATCCACCTTCACATGGGGAAACAAGTTACCCCTAACACCCCAATCTCTGAAGCTCGTTTTGTGTACAGACAGGAGCACACACTCCGCCTTTGTAGCACTGAGCTGCAGTGTGGCCAGGAATGCTCAGGTCCTATGGAAAAGGGAGGTTCCATCCAGCCCACCAGCTTCCAGACACCATGGATGCTGCATGCTTTCATTCTGCCTTACATGATCACAGCCCCTCCTATACTCTGACAAACACCTGGAATCACAAGATGGTGAGACTTCACAAACCAAGAAAAGTAAGCCTGGGAATCGTTAGGGCTTTCTCTTTTCTCAAGAAGCTGGGCACACAGAACAAAGGTTCCTATGAGAGGGGCTGATATCTTAATGCAAGAATTTGATCAGACTGGAAAGATGGCTCAGCAGTTAAAACCTAAGTTCTGTTCCCAGTGCCTACATCAAGCAGATTGTAATGGCCTGTCACTCCAGCTGCTGGGGAAAGCTTACACCATCTGGCCACCTCAGCACCTGCAGTCCTGTGCACACCTCTCCCCACAAAATTAAACATAATTTTTTTTTAATTTTGCATTTTATAAGTACTTCTTCCCACTCTGACCCTTCCGTAGGAAACTACAGACAAGTGACTATTGGTAGTCACTGTTCCTTGCCTAGAGGAGATGGTAAATACTTCATTAGTTAATGGTCCAGGGCAAGCAGATGTGTTCATGAGCCCAGGGTTAGCCAGAGTGTCCTTTGACTGGTGGAGGAGGAGCCCTTGATTGACAGTACATGACTCAGCTGCCCCCAAAGACAGACCCTCCAAACAAAGGCATCTCTCAGTAGGGAAGGCCTGGGAAATTCTGGTCCTTTGTGAATTTCCAAGGATTCCTTCTGTCAAACCTCAGCCAGGGCTTTGAGATAAAAACCAGTCTGCTTGTTTCTTCCCTTTGAATTTGCTTTCCTGAGAACAGTCAGTAAATCTAAGAATAAAATAGGCAACGCAACATATTGATCTGATGAAAAGGCTAAATAAATAAATAAATGCTATCTCAAGTCAAGAGCAGATTCCAAATCACCTTGTTACCATTGCTGGATAAAAAACAAGAATAGAAACTTTCTGATCTATAGAAACAACACCTGCACAGGAAGCCAGGATTTTGAGGGGCTCCCAGCCGAGTGCTGGATTTGTTCTGAAGTTTTATAGTTCTGAGTGACTAGTTCAGTATTGATTGTGAAGGAGAACAGATGCCTGAATACATGGGGAAGCTACACGTTTTCACAATGCTTTGTCTCCTCTCCCCCACTGCACTGATTTTTACAGAACAAGTGCAGCCATCATCTGAGGATGTATTTGTTAGAATATGAAAATCCAGTGCACAGCTTCCTGTTCTTGCTATGTGGCACTGTGGGAGGTTGCCCTCTGAGAAGCTAGAAAGCTGATTAGATGCTCCTTGTACCCCAACAAGGAGCATTGCTTTGAGAGCCAACCAGTAAAGTGATGAGAGAAGGCAAGTTGGGAAGATAGGAGAGAGATGTTGGGAAGGGAGGGGAGAAACATTAGGGTGGAGGGGGAGAGACGTTGGGGAGGAGGAGGAGAAGCACCCTGAATTTCCTTTAGCATTGCATTGCCTTCTGCGGTCTTCATATCTGTTTACACATCCTTCCATTAGCTTCCTGCATGTACTTGCTCAGCCCCAATCATCCTGCATTGATCATCCCATCAAAAGAGATTTTAGTTTGGAAAGAAAAGAAAAGGAAGAAGAGACGAAAGAGGAAGAGCAAGAAGAGAGGGAAGAAACCCAACATCTAGGTAGAAAGAAAAGGGATGGGCCAGACTGTGATCCAGAGCTTGCTTTGTAGTTTCAGCCAGGATGAACTCCTGGCTCTGAAAATGAAATGAGATAGCAAATGGCAGGTGGGTCCATTTGAGTGAGTAGCAGCAAATGGGAGAAAAGCTCAGAAGTCCTCAATGATGAGGAGCTGATAAGGAAGCTAGGCCCTCTGGCTGTGGAAGTAGGTTGGTAAGACAGTGAGCTCAGACTTGGAAGAAGAAAGACAGAGTGTGAACAGAAATGGATGAGTTCTAGCAGGTCTAGGCATAGAACCAGGAGCTGGAAAACTAGCTTCCTCCACTCCAGTTTGTGTGCTGGGTACTTACTCCCCACATGGGTTTCTCTTCTCCTGACAACCCACAGAGGTCAAAGCAACTAGGATCTTTATTTGACAAATGAGAAACCTGCCCATCTCCAAGACCCGTGATGCAGGATTCCTTTTCCTCTCAAGATGCAATACTGTCAATTTCTCCTCTTTTCAGTTTTTTTTGTTTTGTTTTTAAGAAAAACAGACAAGAGGCTACAGAGATGGCTTAGCTGTTAAAGTACTTGCCTCCCAAGAGTTCAGATCTCTGGTACCCATGTGGATGCTGGATGGACATGATGAGTCTACCTGTAATGCCAGCCTTGGGATGTGGAGACTAAGGATTCCCAGAGCAACATGGCTAGTAAGACTAGCCAGATTGATGAGCTCTGGGTTTGACTGAGAGGCCTGGCCTAGGTGAATAAGGTGGAAGAGTTAATTAACAAGGATAAACAATTTGACACAACTTTAGGCCTCCACATGTGCACACATATGCCCCACATAGGTGCCGACATACATATGCAGACATGCATGCACGTACATGCACATACAACACACAAAGCAGCAGGCATGAAAATGGAAGAAAAAAAACAGGTAAGAAAGTTGTCATTAACTGTGACCCATATATAATGAACATCATTAAATCCACTGAAATAACAGAAGCCATACATTTAATTTAAAAATTGTCAACAACAATTTTTATAATGCTACCTAACTCCACACACATATAGCTGGATTTCTTATGCAAGTGAAATATGGAATCATTATGAAAATGATTGGTGAGATTTTTTTAATTCTTTACTCACTTCTGCCCCATTCCAATTGTCCCTTTCCCAGACATGTACACTCAGCACCCAGGAACCTCCTAAGCAGCCTGCATTTGCAGCACTACCAAGCATTGCTGAATCCAAATTGGATTTCTGAATGTGTAT